CCATTCTGGGCTAGAACTTGTGATCCTTCTGACAGCTTCCCACAATGCTGGTATTACAGGTATGTGCTAAACCACTCAGCTAAGAATTATTTTTATATCAAAGAAATAGGACTTTAACTGATTTTACATTTTTCCAGAGCAACAATAATATCTACAAGTCTGTTTTACAGCCTAGACAACGGGCTTATAATCCATTAATGATATCAGTGCATATGTCATACATCCAAAGATCCCCTTACAAACAGTTTGTACAAGATACTCTCATGACATGCACTTCACAGTCACACAGCTAGTAAAGGTCTTGAGTTTGAGGTGGACTGGAAGTCTATTATGTAAAAATAAAGTATACAATATGGATAGCTTATCTCAAGCAAGTAAATTCCATTAGGTAGCAATTTGTTAGCTTAAACTTACTTGGAGTTTCTATTCTCTAATAATAATTATTTATAACAGGTGGTAATGAATAATTATATGATTACAAATTGCCTTCTAGAAGTATCTAAGATCAAAAGGTTTTCTTTTTGATAAAAATCAGGGATTGAACCAAATGGCTACCAAATCTAACATAATACTTCCATACTTCATAATAGTAAAATGTCTAATTAAACTTATGTCTAAATTATAGGGTTTTGCAATTTGGCAGGTCCTCAAAAACTAAACACAGAACTTCCAAATGCCCCAGCAATTCCACTCCTAAGTAGTACCCCAAAAAGTTAATAGCAGGAACTTGAACAGATACTTATACATCAATTTTCATATCAGCATGAATAGTCAAAAAGTAGAAATAATTCAAGTTTCCATTAGTGGATGAAAGGATAAACTAAATGCAGTGTGAAAAGACAACAGAACTTTGTTCAGCCATAAAAATGAATGAAGTTTTGATATATGCTACAACATGAATGAGTCTTGAAAACAGTGTATTAAGTAAAATAAGGGGGATATAGCTCAGCAGCATAAGCGCCTGCCTAGCAAGCGCAAGGTCCTGAGTTCGATTCCTGGTACAAAAAAAAATTGCTAAGCAAAATAAGGACAAATACAAATGAACAAATATGGTATGATCCCACTTACATGAAAGATCTAGAATAGGTAAATTCATAAAGGCAGAAAGTGGATCAGAGATTGCCAGGACTGAGGAAAGGAAAAGCAGAGTTACTGCTTGATGGCTACAGTTTCTGTCCAGGTACTGAAATGGTTTTAGAAGCGCAGGGCTGATAGTGGCATACCTATAGGAATGCAGTTAGTGCCACTAACCAGAACACTTAAGACTCATTAACATGGCACAGTAAAAATTACATCATTTCAAAACTTGTATAGATGAGAAGCTTTGGTCTGTGTAATCCTAGGTAAATCTCAACCTGTTCAAGCTTCAGTTTCTTCATCTATAAAAAACAATGAAATCAATTGTCCATGCATGAGACCCAGAGCAGGACACTGGACTAGAACTTGTAATGAGAAAAAAAAAATTCTCTGTATAAATAGAACTATTTGATCTTCCACTTCCTCGGTTATATTAATTTTTAAGGGTTTAATTTTTATTGATGCTATTGTTAATGGTATTAATTTCCCAATTTCTTTCTCAGTGAGTTTATTTAGTGTACAGGAACACTATTGATTTTTGTGTGTTGACATTATATCTAGCTACAGTACTGAATTTCATTATGAATTCCAGGAGTCTTTTGGTGGAATTTTTGGGTCTTCTAGGTAGAAGATCATGTCATCTGAAAATAATAATAATGTGACTTCTTCCCTCCCTATACATATCTCTTTTATTTCTTTCTCTTGCCTAAATGCTCTGGTTAATGTACTGAAAACTGTATTGAACAAGAGGATGATAGTGGACATCCTTGTCTTGTTCCTGATTTTAGAGGGAAATTTTTTAGGTTTTCCCAATTTAATATGACACGGGGAGAATGTCTGTCATAGCTGGCTTTTATTAGATTGAGGTAAGGTCCTTGTATATCTATTTTCTTCAGGTCTTTAAAATTATGAATGGATGTTGAATTTTTTCTGCATCTATTGAAATGATCAAGTAATTTTTGCCCTTGCTTCTGTTTACATGATGAATTACATTTATTGATTTGTGCAGGCTGAAGCATCCCTGCGTCTCTGGGATAAAGACTACTTGGTCATGATGTATGCTCTTTTTGATTTTTTTTTTTTTTTGGTTTTGGTTTTTCTCCGGAACCGGGAACCGAACTCACAACCTTGCGCTTGCCAGGCAGGCGCGTTTGCCACTGAGCTAAATCCCCAGCCCCTTTTGATTATTTTTTGCATTCTGTTTGCCAGTATTTTGTTGAGGATTTTTGCACCTACATTCCTTTAAGACATTGGTCTGTAGTTCTCTCCTCAGTTGGGTTTTGCTGGCTTTGGAATCAGGATAATGCTAGCTTCCAGGAATGACTTTGAGAGTACTCCTTCCTTTCCAAATTCACTGAAGAGTTTGAGGAGTATTGGTATTAGATCTTCCATAAAGTTCGAGTAGAATTCAGTAGTGAATCCACCAGAATCTGGACTTTTCTTAGTTGGTAGTTTTTTAAAAATTACTTCTTCAATTTCATTGCCTGATATAGTATTGGTCTGGGTTTTTATTTCTCCTTGGTTCAATTTTGATCATTCATTTCTATCTAGGAATCTATCCATTTCTTCTGAATTCTCCAATTTTTTTAGAATACTGGTTCTCAAAGTAGTTACTAATAATCTTCTCGATTTTGAAGGTGTTCATTGTGACTTTGCCTTTTTTATTTCTAATTGCACAAATTTGGGTCTTCTCCTTTTTTTGCAAGATTGGCTAGGGGTCTCTCTACTTTGTTTATTCTTTCAAAGACCAGTTCTTCAATACATTGATTCTACTGGTTTTTTAGTATAGATTTCATTAATTTCTGCTCTGATATTCATACTTTCTTTCCTTGTACTAGCTTTGAATTTGGATTGTCCTCATTTTTCTAGGGCCATTAACCACTATTTTAAAAATCAACTAAAATTATATGCCCATCAGAGAGAACCAACCCACATAAGTTTTATTTCCTAATAGTATTTATTATAAGTTGTCAATTTTAAAAAAGGCATTTGAGTTAAGAAACAGTCCCCTAAAATGTGAAGAATTACAAATACGATCTAATAGAGCAGTGGAGTCATTGGAGAGGACATAGTGGTCACGAAAGAAGGAAGAGACGCTAAAAACCTGAGCCCTGGTTGCTAGTGAGGCTTATGAAGTTCATAGAACATATCATCCCTCCAATTAAGGAGCAGCCTGAGAATCCAATTCAACTCTTCAGACTTTCTTCAGGTTGGAACCCTGAAATCCTGTGACTTGCTACTCGACACTGTCAGCCACAGAGCAAAGACTGTGTTCCAATTATAATTGATTTTTATAAAGGAGGACATTGGATTAAATGAGAGAATAGTGAATGGCAAAGCAGATATTTGGTGACCTTATCTTCAGGTATCACATCCAGTAAATAAATATACAGGATCGCAATGCTCAATCTAATCAGCCCATGTGGGTGGGTTATGGGAGGCCAATCTGAACAACCCTCATTAATTTCTCAAGTTAGCTCAGGATCCACATAGGACAGATGCATCAAATTATCCTTTCATCCTTTAAGCCCACAATTCATCTGATTCTCACGGTTCTGACTCCTTGTTCAACAATATTCTATTTCCTGGCTTCTCTTCTGGATCTTTAGAGTAAAAATGTACCTCTCATTTATCTGGAGGAATAAAAATTTTGAAATTCAAAGTTCAAGAGTTTTTCAGAAATTCAGCTGAATGAATTCATCTCATGACTTTAGTTAAGTGATCTACCCATGAAAGTTGCATCTGCTGTTGATTTGCTTAAAAAAAAATTAGTTTTTTTAGTCCATAAGACTGAGCCAGATCTTAGACCGAGGGAGAAAATGGTATCCAATGAATCCCCTGCAAGCAATCCTTTGATACCCCTCTCCATACTCTTTATCATTTTATTTTCCCTTTTTTTTCTTGCAAAAATTTTCTGTCAGAGGAGTCGAAAAATTTAGTGAGATATAGGTAATTATGCTTACCAAACCTATTATACACGATAGATAAATGTTCATTTCCCTCCTACTCTCATTTCTGGGCTTTACTGAGATTAAAAAGTGAACAATCAGAAAACTTTATACTCATGCTAGGTTAGGGATTCTGTATGCTCAGTGAGTCCTGAGTCCAGAGAGAAACAATTTTTCCTCCAACTTCTCAGATACTAAAAAATAAACCATTTCGTTCAAGACTATTTTAGGGTGTGGCAAAAAGGGAATAGGCTCCTTTTAAAAAGACTTATCAGATGCCAAAGGAGTAAAAAAAAAAAATATGTAATTCCTCCAAATAGTGAGTATAAGGAGAAAAGCTACCCCAAACCCAAAGTCCCGAAGAAAATTAGTCGAAAACATTATAAATCACATTAGAAGATATCATAGCCAAATTCAGCCGTCACTATGATGACAAAAGTAGAATCAAAAGCATAATTAGTGACCCAAGTGTGGTGGCGCAGGCCTGTAATCCCACACTCAGGAGGTTGAGGCAGGAGGATCATTGCAAGTTCAAGGCCGGCCTGAACTGCATAGTGAGACCCTGTCTCAAAAAGACAAAAAAAAAAAAAGGATAATTAGTAAATGTTATAAGAAGCAATAAAATGTTTGGGCTGGTTAACTGCTGATGAAACCCATTTTAAGAGTCACTTTTTTGTGTATTATGGTAATGAAACCACTTAACTTTTGCAGTACCTTTTTCACACAAGCCAAATTAAAAACACAAAACAACCAACATAAGGAAAGTCCTATTTCCTGCTAGTCTACATGCCCTGCCCCCACCTCCCCAGCAACATCTCAGAGTTGAAATTTTAGGTTGCAATTACAGTTCTTCCCTTCAGAGTCCTCTTGTGGCTTTCCCAGCAGCCCACAGCTGCCTTAATCCTCCACCGGTGAGCATAAAGATGACATATGCAAAACCACATTCACCACTAGGATAGAAAGAAGAATGCCTACCTCGTTCAAATTTTAACCGCTGATAAAGCTGAAACTGATCCACAGGTACCAGACAGGCAATCTGAAACCAGAGACATTAGATGAGATTTCAGTCATCGTTGGGCCCTGACTTATGAGCACTTTATGATTTCTCTTTCTGGCTTTGCTTACTATATTCTCCCTCTACCACTTATTTGTAAACTTCTTTTTCTGTACATTGCTCACTGCAGCAATTCTTGAGCAGCTACCGAGATCAGATAACCAAATTTTATTATTTGGACTTCCCAGGTTGTGTACACGCGTAAAAGATGCTCTTTTTTCTTTGTATATTAATTTTAAAAATTTGAAGACTATAGTTCCTACTTTGAACCCTTAAAAGCTAAAGTTATATAAACAGTGCCTCAGGAAATATGAAAACTTCATTTGTTACTTAGGAAATAGTAACTTCTAAACAATATAAAATATCTTCTAACAAATCACTTCATGGAGGTCTTAGCTATCACACATTGCCATTTAAGACCCTCATAGAAAGGAAAAGCCTAAGCCATTTCCTGTGGCTAGACTCTCATTTTTCCATTTTACATAGTAAAATGAACCAAAGGTTTACTAGTAAACAAAAATGATTCATAGTTAAGTGAATGACATTTAGATTAATCACTCTAAATTACACTTCAAAGGCAGACCCAAGAACAGCTAACTGATCTTCAGCTGGTATTCTAAAAATATTAATTCCACTGACGTCAAGATATAAGTACACTGACATTGCTTAAAGGATTTATAGCTGAGAAAATAAATGGATTTGATATTAGCCTCCCAGACATTAAAAAGGTTAATATAGGACATAGGCTAGCCTTGACAATTTTAATTCCAAACCATTATGTAAAAACAACTATTATTATAAAAACATAAATAGTTTAGAATTGAAACATAAAACATAATAGTTTAGAATTGAAATTAATATTATTAATAGTAATATATATTAGTAATTATTAATAGTAATATATAACACATATATATCTATAACATCTATATCATATATAACATATATAAATAAAAATGACTGTATAAAATATATTTGGATAAAAGTTTTTTTAACTAACAAAAGGAAGTCTGCATTGAGGAAACCAAGGTAAGATGATAATGAGGCTAAAATTGTATTTAACAAATATAACACATTTAGAAATGCATCAAAAATCTAATTATCCCCCTCACAAAATACTGTCAATTTATTTACTGTGCAAACGAATCAAACTAAGTTAGCTAAAATGTATGAAGGATCACAAACCAAGCATGTCAATCTTCCCCATTCCAAGTTTGGTGGAAAAAAAAATTTAACTTCATTACAAAAACTTTTTTTTCAAAATTTTCTTTCTCAAATAAGAAAGAAACTCATGTGCTTTTACCCAGTAGCTTAAGTAAAAGCTCCTTAGCAATCTTTGCCAAAAATTTAGGGTCAGTCTCATGTTATATGTATTTTCCTATGCTTCTTTTTAAAAGTTTGATTGGAGTTTTATTATACTGAAAGCCAGTTTTGTCTGTTTGTTATAATATCACCCAAAAATCTTTCTTGAAAGATATAAGTATCTCAAATAAAATTCAGAATTGGAGACAGAAGGTACAGGCAATGAAGAGCTAGGAGGCATTAAAGGAATCTGAGCACATTTCCTGTCATAGGTGCATGAAGGACAAAAAACCTAATGCTACTTCTACTTTAGGACCAAGTTGACCCAAGCTAGGGCCCAGAGACCTCAGTGATATCCCATTAGCTACACCCCCAAAGCTATTGGAAGTCACTGATTTTATGGCACAATCCTGTATTCCACTTACTCTCACCTAAAATGGTTGGTGGACTCATGTAAATTGTTTGCAAATCCATCCAAATCACACCTAATACTTCTGATCAGTCAAAGATGAGCAACTTATATAACAGTTAAGATAAGGCAAACAGAAAAAAAGATCTTTCAGACATAGAAAGTAATGCTAATGAGAAAAATGACAGAACTAACATGGTAAAAAATCAAAGATAGCTATGGATGTTTATTTCAAATTAAAAAGATAAATTACACTAGAGTATGCATTACTGCCAACAAGGAAGTCATAGGTCTCTAATTTTTTTGCATCTCGCTCTACTTTGAATCTCCTATTTATTATTTCCTAAGTCAAAGATTTACATGCAATTAGGCTTTAAAAAGACAAATCAACTTTTCCATTGACAATTATAAAAAGTTAATTCCCTCGCTGCTCACCAAATTGGTCCTTCTGGAATAAAGATGACACACAGAACACACAATCTCCTCTCAGGCCTGCCATTTAGACCCAGCTTCTTCTCCATCTGCTCACTGACAGCCTGCTATGGGGAAAGCTCTGGGCTGGATGCCTGTGCTATGCCGAAGGAGACTCGGAGGCTGTGCGCGAGGGACTGAAATCCCTTGGAAGGAGATGCAGGCTCACAAGATTCAGAAAGGATCCACTCCATGATCTTGTCATCTGCTAGACTGTGCATATTAGGACGCATTTTCAGAAGTGTTTCTATCATACTGTTTAGCTTTAGATGAAAGAAGGCTTTTTGGTGTTGGGGACCACTACAGAGTGGCTCTGAGCAGGATTTAATATTAACCAATTGGCTTTCCATGTTTACTTGGGAGTTGTCCAAAGTTTAGGCACCTTGTCTAAAGATGGGCAGTTGACTCATAGTAAATAAACCTCTACGGGTCATTGGTCACCACTGAAGCCTGTTTTGGCTTGTGAAGCTGTGACGCCTCAAAGGACAAGACAAGGCCACAGCTGAGGACGTTTGGCTCCAACCCCAATTAATTACCAGGAGACTGCAGCTGCAGACTCCACACTCCTACAATAAATACGAACCTAAAGATAAGGTAGTTCTCCTGACTGACATAATTTACTACTAGGGAAAATTCTCCCAAGGTCCTGCGAGATTCCTGCGTTTTCTTGAGTAGCCTCCTTCTTTGTTTGAAAACTAAAGAAATACAGGCTGCCCAGAGAAGTCTTTGGCTAACTCAGAGAATACTGAAGTTGTAAGAGAGTTAGTCCCTCCTGGAGCCCTGAAATCATTTCCATTGTCTCATTTATTTAAGCCTTCGCCATCTACTCGCTTGGGAGATTGCAGGCCTGATCAGCCTGTAATAACTTAACCTGGTTTTTGATACATTGGATCTGCTTTTAAAAAGTAACAGCACATGATGCAAAGTATTAAATTCCTGGTTCCAGTGCCAATAAGAGGTAAATCGCTATTGCTCAAGGCCTCCATTCCTACAATGATAATGCTGAAGTAATTGCGCTAGGATGAGTACCAAGAGAGTCCATAGAGAGTGGGTAAGGGGGTATGAATGATTTTTTAGGATACTCACAAGTACCCTAAAATTGTCAGACTGCTAGAATAACAATCCTGGAGAATAGTAAACAAGATTATAAAGAGGTGTCATGTGGCATACATTAACCTCTTGTGCCAACAGAGAAATTCCAAATCATCCCAAATCATACTACAACATTCCTTCTTAATTTTTTATTTCAGAATAATGTTAGATTTACAAAAAGTTGGAAAACTCATAAAGAGCTCTTAAATGCAATTTCTGAAGATAACACTTTATATAACCAAAGTTAATTACTGAAATAATGAAATTTACATTTATATAATATAATTGGAAGCTGTTACGGTTTGTGTCTAGATGTCCCCCCAAAGCATCATGCAGAAACAGGGCTTTTTCAGAGGTGACTGGATCTAGAGCATGTGATGCTGGCATTGATTCATGGTGGAATACTAGGTTCAAGGGCTCTAGAATTAATGGTGTGAGTACTACCCCTTCTAAGTAGGCTCGATAAGATAAAAGGGACAGAAAGAGCTGTTGTCCTCCCTTGCTGCTTTGCTACCTTCTGCTTGCCGTTTATGAGCTATTCTTTGCAAAACCACTCTGCCTTGGAGCCAGCCAATTGTGGACTGAAATCTTTACAAACTATGAGCTACATAAATCTTTTCTCCTTTAATTTGTGGACGTTGGGTATTTTGCCTCAGCAATGAGAAAAGTAACTAACACAGAATTCTTACTCAAATTTGTCAAATCATCCCACTAATGTCTTTTTTCAATCTAAGATCCAATCCAGGCTACCATCTTAATTTAGGTATGGTATTTCCTTTAGTGACCTTGACATGTTTGAAGAATTCAGGCCAGTTATGTGTATAATGTACTTCTACTGGATTTGTCTGATGCTTTCTCATGATTAGACTGGGTTGGTACATTTTAGCCAGAACTTCAGAAGTGATCTTGGGGCCATCAGGAGGTACGTGCAGATAGCATGTTTCATAAGTAGTAAGATTAACTTCTAGACTTGTTTAAGGTGATATCCGCCAGGTTTCTCCATCCTTAGTAGTTAGTATCTTGTAAGAGATGTTTTAATTTAGGATATTTAAGATAGAGAGCACCTCTTCAATAATTAGGTGAGACACAAGATGAAGTAAAATTGTATTACTTACAGATCACGGAAAGTACACAGCACACTTCAAGGACTTACTCCAAAATGTCAGAGAGTACAGATAGGGAGAGAGAAGGACCCATGGGCCAATACCCTTTTGGGTCCAGGGCATTAGCCAAACAGATTTCCAATAAGGAGTTTTAACTGGTAGGTTTAAAGAAAGCAGAATTCAGTGAGAGGCTGGATTGACTAACAAAGGAACCACAATTCTAGGAGTTTGTAAACAGAAAAATCCTATTGTTCTAACAAGGCAGAAAAACAGGATCTTGAAGCCAGACATGTTTCTGAATTTTAGTTCTCAAGAGAAATATTAAAGTGAATATATCAAAGATTTTCTAATTAAACACTGAAGGAAAGAAAGCCAACAGACTGCCAGCAGAATTTAGGGAGGAAGAATGAAATCTGAAGTGGATTTTCAAAAGCTGATCCATTTTAGAAACAGTCACATAAACAGAACAATAGACTCCTTGACTAATGAATAACACAGAGCTGTGACTAAGAGGTAGTCATTGTGTCCCACAAGTTCATGTGGGATGTGAGGGTCAGTGAGGTCATTCAGGTAGACTGCATCTAGCTGTCCCTAGGAAAACAGTC